AAATATTTTACCATGCACAATTAAATGTGACAACTCCTTAAAATTAAATAAAGCCCTTCTAGGTATTCTCAAGACTAAAGATATTATACTTGATCATCTTGAATAAACAAATGGAAGTCGCCGTTCTAATCCTCTTAACCACCTTTGCGGTGATTTATGCGAGCATACAAGTATAACCTTGTCAATGCCGTTGACCAAGATAGTAGTCTTATTTTTTGCATAATTCTTTCTTTAGGAATTGTCAAAAAAATCTTCAATCTCTATGATAAAGATATTGCATTTTCTATCATCAACACCCCCTTTTCCTTCTTCCCTAAGCTCTAGGTCAACTTTTGTGAAAATTAAACTCAAATGACGAATGCTCTGTTAAAACAGGCTTTTAAAGCTTTTAATAATTATCCTTCTAATTTAAATTCCTTTATTTGGAAACATCTATGAAGGCTTCGCTTACCTTCCAAATTTATTTTATTCATAAATGCATTCTTACAAGAGATATTTTAAACTTTTATCATCTTATAAATATTCGATCTAGAATTCTCCATTTTAAAATAAATGGTATTCAATATTCTAATTTTTCCCAATGGCTTATGAATTTGTTGGCCTCACTTTCATATGATTCTCAGTTTCTAACCCTTATCATTGTCACTACTCATACAATCTCGACAAAAAGAAATGAAATCTTCCATTTCAAAACTCATTTTAATCGACCACCTCCATTAGTTACCATTAAAACCATTCTTTTCATTCACAGTTACTTCATCTCCAGCTTCTCACAAAGCAATCTTCAAACTTTAGAGTCTACTTCTAATCCATCTTCTATTCCATCTAGGCCACCAATCTTGGTTGCACCACTCATGTTTGACTGAAACTTGCTTATAAGAACTACTTTTCCAAAGTTTTAAGTGGATTTATCATTCCAACGATAAAATTCACAACCCAACTCTTTTAGCTCTTATAATGGTTGTTCATCAAATCATACCTTCTTGGGACTCTACAAAAAACAGAAGCACAAGATTGTTCATTCAATATCACGGGAAAAATCTAATTTGCCCAAGCATTTTCCTGAAATGCACTCTTCTCATGTACTTTATTTTCAATTTTTTCTTTTGGAAATTTTCTTTATAAAAGTTTTCTTCCTTTACCTTCACGGTTTACTCTTTCTCTTTTATTAATAAAAATTGTCTCATTGTTAAAAACAAAAACAAAAAACCCTTCCAACAAAAAGCAGGGCACACAATAGTAAAAATTAAATAGCACAACTTAGGAGAAGCAAGAATGAGAAAGAGGAGAGAATGCTTGGAGGCTAAGGGGTGATGTTCTGGAATCTGTGGCAAACACTACATTTTATAGGCTGAGATATCAAAACATTATACAATAAAACACTGATCAATGACGCTTTAATCACACTTCAAAATACTGTTTTGGATAGTGATGATAGTTAAATGGTGATTAATATTATTAATGTATAATAATTAATTTTGAAATACCCATAATGTTTTTATGAGTGAGTGGAATGGTCGTGGGTTTATTCAATTTTGAGTATAATTATCTTTTCTCTTACATTTGAGATGATGTTTTGAGATTTTAGAATTATGTGTTTTTATTCTCATTTACGAGTAATTCAATCTCCAAGTTGGAGGTAAAGATAGAGATCAATTTGTGTTAGACTTTTTTTTTTTGGGAGGGGGGGGGAAATGAGACCTTCTTTGAATACGTGGTTTTTTTTTTCTTCTTTTTCCTGATGTTCAATTCACCCTTTTTTGTTTGGTCAATTTTTCCTTAACAAACATGTGAGTAGGAAAAAAATGGTAAAAGAGCACACTTATTCTTAAACTATAAGTATATAATTATATGAGATTTTAGACTTATTTTTAGTATAATTTTTTTCTTCAAATTTTAAAAATGTTGTAATCTAGCTTATAAAATTAACAAAAGTTAATTTTAATTGTTAGTTTGATAAAAAATAAAAAAAATTATAATAAAGAACCCAAAAAATTACAGCAAAGGATAACAAAAATTATTGATAATTTTTGTGATTTTTGTGGTCTTTTTTATTTTATCATTTTTGATCAACTAAATGTCAAGGTTAAATTTTTATTAATAATAAATGTCAGATTTTATTATTTTTAAAAGTTGAAGAAAAATATTATAAAAAAATTAATTCTAATCCTAAACTCTTATTGACTTAATAGTTAATAGTTTAGGAGTTAATTTTTTCTTTTACTAAAAAAAATTAGTAACACCTAATTGTCCCCACACCAAAAAAAAAATTATGCATATTTATTGAATTTAACGGCACTTTATCGAAGGGACTGTTATTAAATAAGACAAAAACTTCAAAATAATTACTCTCTCTGTTAAAAAATATAAGATATTTTTAACTGAATCCCATCTCTAATAAAGTATTTACTTACTTTTAAACTAATCCTATCTTTTCATATTTACCCTTATTAAATATCTTATAATAAATATAAAGACATTTATTAATAGAGGTATTTTTTAAAAAAAAACAATGATTATATCTTAAAAAATTAAAAATGCCTTACATTTTTGAACACCCAACTCTTCAAAAAATACCTTATATTTTTAAATGGAGGGAGTATTATTTTGAAATAGGAGGAGTAACACATCCAAATTACAAAACAGCACCCGAATTTGTAGAGTACGTTTATTCGTAAAAAATTACTCTCTGCGTTCAAAAATGTAAGACATTTTTAAACAAATTTTACCTCCAATAGAGTAGTTAAGTACTTTTAAATTAATACTATTTTTTATTTTTACCCCTATTAAATATCCTATAATAAATATAAAGTCATTATCAATAGAGGCACTTTTGAAAAAAAGACAATGATTACACCTCAAAATATTAAAAATACTTTATATTTTTAAATATTTGACTTCTTAAAAATATCTTATATTTTTAAATGAAGAGAATATTTTTTAAAAAATAAAATTTAATATTACATAATCACGTGTCTGTATGCTTTTTTAAACATCTATAAAAATATAATTATGCACGATGATTATTTGCTCTCATCATATGCACTTACTTCTTTAGTTGTATTGTCTACTTTTCACATACATTATATATGTATCTATGTATTCACTTTAGTACATATCAAAAATTCAAATTTTGATCAATAGTGATGGCAAAAAATATAAGTTTTATAATAATTTAGAGAATTTACAAGCCATAAAAAATATTCATTTTTAAATGTCGATAAGGAAAAAATTTATATAATTAACCTTCTAATAAATACACATAAGCAAGTTGATCAATTGCAATTACAATTGCAAATTATGCTGTATTTTTTTTTTTTGGGGACAAAGCAAATTATGCTGTATTAATGCTTACAATCTTGACAGCTCCTCAAAAATCGCAAGTTAAGGGATGCTCAACATAATTTCATCCGTTTGACATACATTGATTTTGTATTAAATTAAGGAAGAATTAAGTTGCAGATTCTTATAATTTTCTTCAATTTTAAATTAGGTTCATATAATTTATTTTATTTTAATCAAACCTTTGATCTATGAAAGTTAAAATAAATAATAAATTATTAAATTTTACAAACAAAAATAATTTTAGAGTTTTTAAAAATTTTAATTTAATACTTTTAACCAAAATTAAAAAAATAAAATTTTATTTAATGCACTGTTTGAATTTTTATTAATTTTTTATAAAAAATATTTAAAAAATAGTCTAGCTATATAAATTTTGAGTTATAAAAATTATGTAATTAATTTAAAAGTTGTATAATCATTTAATAAAAATATAAAAGTTTTTTATTTTGTCATTTAAAAAAAATTCAAGAATTTTAATTTTCAAGGGTTAAAAAATTTAATTGATCAAAATAAAAGGACTCAATAAAATAAATTAAATCACAAGAATCTAATTTAAAATTGAGAAAAACTATATTTTCCCTTCAATTAATCAAATGTATGAAAGTTAATAGCGAAAAACAATATAAAATATATAATTTATAAGAATGTATTATTAACAAATTATAAATAGTAGCTTATTTCAAAATTCATTTATTTTTAAATTTTTTATATAATTTATTGAATTGTAAATATTTTTTGATTTTTAAAATATTTACAGTTGAATTTGATAAAATTCAATATTAAAAAAATAATATTTTACAAAGTGAGTGAGGCATAGATGACATTAACTTGACCCCTTAAATATTATTATAGAGTTCGAATTCTAGAAGTGTATATGAAGAGCATTATTTGAAAAATAATAACTCTCACACTTAAATTTCTTAAAAAATTAGTCTTATAATTGTTAGATATAAGAGAAACTTGAAAACAAAAAAATATAATATTTGGAAAACATTAAGTTGTTATATATTATTTTGCGCATAAAAATACTAGCTTATTATGTAAACAACAATAATCTTCTTTTAAGAGTGAGACAACAATATAATATGCAAAAAGAAAAATTCAGTACTTTTGTAAAACAATTAATTACATTGAAATCCAATGAACTCCTCAAATTTTTTTACTCCATTAATTGAGGCAACCCATAAGATTGGGAAGAATGACAGTTAACTTCAAGAATACTGAATTAATTATCTTTAGGTTTCTAATAATTTTTTTTAAAAATTAATCTAAACTATTGATCCAAATAATTATAACTTCAGCCATTTTAATTATAAATAAATATTTAAATATTAAATATAATTTTTAAATTATAATAAAATTTGTTATTTAAACTGATATAAATATTTATAATTTATTTTATAAATTTTTTTTATTGAAAATCTAATCGTCATTGATTTAACAGTTTGGGATTTAATTGTCGTTTTCTCGTAAAATTACTTAGCAAGTCATCAACGATACTGCACGAACGCGAGCTATTGGATACTTTATCATCCACAGTGCAGGCGTACACACCATATGAGGGCACATCTCAGCGGCAAAACCCAGTACGGACGTTTCTCTCGCGATCACAAAATGGCACTACGAAATGCGTAAAGCAAAACCGTCCCATTACTCTCTTCACATTTTGATTCTCTGTACTCTCTCTCTCTCTCTCTCTCTCCCCCTCCCACGGGACGACGAAAATGGCAATCACAATCTGCGAGCTTCCCGCTCCGTGCAGTCACCGCCGCTTCCACGTCAACCTTGATGGAACTGAAATTTCCGTCACTGTCACTGCCACAGCCTCCGTTGTCCGACGCTGGATCAACGCCGTCACCTACTTTAACCGACACTACCTCAGCAGACTCATCGTCGGTCTCGGCGTTCAGTGGACTCCCGGTGACAGAGACGCACCGGCGGATACTTTGCAACTCTGCGTGGGTCGCCGATGCCTCGTGTACCAGCTGAGTCACTCAACCTACGCCCCGAAGTTGCTCCGGCGATTCCTCTTGAACCCTTACTATACCTTTGTTGGCTTCTGGAACCATTCGGATCGGACGAAGCTGGCGATTTCGAAGCATCATCTGCACATGCTGAAGGATCCTCTGGATATCAGGGAGTATGTGGAAACGGATGACGGTGAGAGCCTCCATAGGGCTTCGGTCGAGGAGATTGTTCGGGAATGCCTTGGGATTGATGGAGTAAGAGTGAGGCCAGAGATCAGTATGAGCGATTGGGACGTTATGTATCTCAGTTCTGAGCAGGTTCTGCAAGCGACTCTCGATGCTCACTGTGCGTTTATGATTGGGAAGAACATTGGTGCTTGGAGACTCCCTTAGGTAAGTCCTAAATCTGAATGCACTTCATGCTACAGGTTGTGTCCAGTAGATTTCGCATTTTCACAGTTGGCCTTTGAGCGAATTTCGATGGTGATATTTTGCTTCATTGAGTATTCTTCCAGCATCACTCTCGTTTTTTCTTTTTTTGGGCCATTTATGGCGATTTGAAAGCAAAGACAAAGAGATACTGTATTTTGTTTGAATCTTGTCATTTCCATTTCAGAGAAGTCTGTGATTGATGGATTTAACGTCGATTTGGAAATGTGAGGGTCTGCATTTATTGCTTGGATGGAAAAAGAAAAATCCTTCCTTACTAAGCCAAGCGAAAAAGATGAGAGAAAGCAATTAAATGAAGAAGCCAATAAAAAAGCCCGCTGCGCTCAGCTTTGAGCTTTCTGAACAAAGACCCCGGAAATGCTAGGAGCCTGTTTGCCAGCCTTTTATAAGAACAGTTTTTTGTTATCTACAATTAAAAATAAAAAATTATTTATTAACATATTTTTAAAAAATATTTTAAAAAATAAATAAATAATTTTTTTTTGGAGAATGAAAAAATAAAAATATCTTTTAAAAGCTTGTTTTGTTTTTATTTTTATTTTTGTTTTCAAAACTGTTTTATAATATAATTTTTAAAATTATCTTTTAAAAAAATAAAATGAAAATTTATTTGATTATGGAAATTAAAAATAATTTTAGAATTAAAAATAAATTAATAATGATTGTTATAGGTAATTAATAATAATAATTAATAATAAAAATCAAAGTAACTATAATTTTTAATAATTAAACGTAGTGTATTTTAAAAATAAAAAAATTAAATAAAAATACTTTAAAGTTATTTTTATTTTTTAAAAACTAAAAACAGTTTTTAAAAATAAAAAATCAACAGGCCCTAGTACTATGGGATCATTATTCTGTAGAATAAGGGGAATAAAAAACTCATTTTTATTAATTTTTTGTTCTGAGAACATATTTTAAAAAATATAATTTTTTAAAATAATAAAATAAAAATAATTTTAAATAGACCCTGGAAAATTAGTAGCTTTTCTTTTGGTTGGCTTATCCCTCTCACCAATTTATTATATTCATGATGATTTATTATTAGTATTTCATTAGACGTGCGCTCATGAATTTTAATGCTATAATTCAAGGTGAGGTGAGTGATTGGTCCCAAAAAAAAAAAAAAACAAGGGAGAAGATGAGATGAGTGACATTGAAACGTGAAACCTTTACTAATAAATTATAAGGTTTTTTCCTTATGTAACTTTTAGACCACGAATAAATTATACTCCCGTACATAATGTTTATAGTACACGTTATATATGGATACTCTGGAGCCCGAGCATTGTATGTGTTAAAAATTAGAAATTCATGACTTGCAAAACAATAAAATTTATTAAAATTTTTACATTACAAATGTATAAACAAGGGTTGAAGGGCAAATTTATTTTAGAAGTTTTTTTATCAATCTAATTAGTATTTTTAACCTTTGATTAGCGCAGCATTATCTTAAAGGTTTAAAAAATGATGCAATGTTATCATACAGTGATATTTGACTAATGTTAATTGTTAATTGAAAAATTTTAACTAGGATTAAAGAATAATTTTTCCATTTTTTTAAAAAATTAAGGTTAAAAAACTCTCATGAATTTTGAACCATGTACAAATAATTTCTTTAAACTTTACTCCTTTCATTTAAAAATGTAAGGCATTTTTTGATGAGTTGGGTATTAAAAAATATAAGGTATTTTTAGTCTTTTAAGGTATAATGATTGCCTTTTTTTCAAAAGTGTCTCTATTAATAATGACTTTATATTTATTGTAGAGTGTTTAATAGGAGTAAATATAAAAAAATAAGTTTAGTTGAAAAGTAGATAACTACTTTAGTGGGAGATGAGATTTGGTTAAAAATATCTTACATTTTTGAACAGAGGGAGTAACACTTAATAATAAACATCCTTGAACTTTCAAGTACTTCTTCTGATTCTATTTATAAGGTAGAGAAAGAAAAATTTTTTTAATCTTATTTATAAGTCACGTTATTAAATTTTTATCATAAATTTTTTTTACCCTCCATTGAATGCTGGAGAGAGAAAATATATTATTAAAGTATGTATATTTAATAGGATAAAGTTGAGAGTTTATTAAATTTTAAAACAAAGTTAATAAGTTTTAAAATTTTTTTAGTTCTGATAAAACATATTAAAAGTGACTTATAAATATGATTAGAGAAGTATGTGCACATAACGCCTAGCTATCAATTATATACCCTCTTAAATGTTATTTTTATATACATTCAAGCCCCTCAAACTTTGATTAATACATGAATAACTTTCGTAAATTTTAAATTATGTATATATAATTAATGTATAAAATTAATTATACAGAGTTATCTCTATAAATATAAAAGTTGAGGGAATTTATTGTAAAAGTTTAATAATTAAGAAGATTATGTGCACATGATCTCTATGGTCTTGGCCTTGAAACTTTTCTTTCTTTTTGGGTGAGTGGCTTAAAACTTTGTATGTACCAACAAACACAAGGAATCCAAGCATGGGCCTCAAGGCAAAAAGTAAGCGACTCAAAAATAATACAGATTGCATGAGAGACAATATGCTTAAAACTTTATTTTCATTCAATGAGGTGAAGCTTATGGACACAACCACATTTAGTTTGCTACGTAGTAACATCTTTATCTATTTTTAGCTCTAAGTTTGTCGGTCATCTTATACTGGACAAAACTGTTCCTCTTTCATGCATTTATTAGTCAGAATAATGATTACCCAACACAAGCGCCTGCGCCATTTTTCTAGTTTCCTGATCTTTTTGTTTTTGTTTTTGTTTTTGTTTTTGTTTTTGTTTTTGTCTTGTTTTGTTTTTTTTTTTTGGGTGGGAGATTGGCCTTGGATTTCTAGTTCCTCCAATACAATAATGTGAAAGTGGTAATCTAACGCCTGCCTTTCGTATGGGAAGGTATTTTTTGTGTGGAAGTAGAAATAAAGATGAAAATGAAAGTGGAAGGAAAAGGAAAAGTGAAAATAAAAGTGGAGTTAGAGTACAAAAAGCACGTTTGACTTACGAATAGAAATGTGATAGCTATAAATGCAGAATTATGAGGCGGAGTTAGGTTGGCAAAGGAGCTATTGGTAAAAAATCTAATCATTGAAGGAGATTAAACTGTTGTCTTATCAATGTTGAAAGATGCATGAGTGGAGAAGAAGTCTAGTAGTATTTTTTGTGATGATATTTGTAGAGTTCTTGATTTTTTTTTAGAAATATTATTTTCAGTCATGTATATAGGGAAGGCAACCAGTGTGTAGATTGGCTTGCTAATTACAGTTTTTCTCATGATTTTTCGTTTATTCCTTTGTGGGATCCTCTTGATCCTTTACAAGATTTATTGTATAATGATTCTTTCAGTGTTATTCACTTAAAAGAAGTTTTAGTAATGAAATAAAGTAAGGCTTTGCTCACATTCACTAAAAAAAAGAAATTTTATTTAATATTATATTTATATCTTGAAAATAACAAAATACCCTTAATAAAAAAGGCCTCATTGAACTACTAGCATGTGAAGCAAGTGCCATCAAAGAACAACTATTAGATAATGAAAAAAAAAACCATCATATCATCCAAGAAGAAAATTTGAGAAAAAAGGTGATTACAATACTCAATCAACAAAGCATTTAAACATACAATAATAAGATTATAAAATTATATTTGAAAATCATGAACACATTCAAATAGAGATTGATGATGCATGAGAAGAAAATGGAGACGTGCAACCTTGTTGTGATAATAGACTCAAACATAGCTCATGATGGAGTGGCTACATAGTAAAGATTTGGAGGAAGAGGACAACAAAATTCAAACAAACCTTGAAGTAGATAATAAAGGTAGAAAGTTTGGCCATAAAGTTTCTCACAATTTGAGGAAGAGGATAATGGAGTTCAAATATCAATAGATTGGTGTCAACTCAATGTTGAAATATTAATCGCCATTGAAGATCTAGAGCGTGCTATCAATTAGGGTCCTCCATCATATTGGTTGTCGTCCTTCAATTGTTTCATTGAAAAAGGATGCTATGAATGATCAACAAGCCAAGTGGAGTTTTAGATAAGTGGAACTTGGTTCCTAGTGTCTAGATATATAACCTAATTCCATTAAATTTAATAGAACTCAACTCTCCATGAAGTCTCTTCATGCATGACAAGCACACAAAATGTTGGGTTCCACTTCCACTTCTACTTCCTTTCCTCCAATTCCCTATTATAAAATGAGGCATAAAGACATGTTTGAACTAGTTGGTCATGTAGATTTAAGTTTTTGGTGCCATAAGAGCATGTCCTCAAACGGTGCCAAATACCTAACTTGTAAATCAAGTAATGAGTTCTTAAGGTCTTTTATCACAATTTCCCTAAATGCAATTGTTTAAAAATAAAGGAAATGAAGAAATAAAGATGAAGAAAAATGGAAGACTTGCATGATGAAAGCAAACATGATATTGATAATAATAAAAAATAAATTACAAAAAATATAAGATGGAAAATAAAAGAAGAGCGCTGGAGTGCTGTTGCTATTGTTTTGCTAAAAGGCAGTACTATATTGCTTACTGGAGAACTTACTGCTATTGCTAGATGCATGGCGCTTTAAGGGAACTACGTCAAGTTTGTTGAAAAACGAAGTGTCCAATATACTCAAACCAAGTGTTGAAGCAATTGGAATGCTTTTGGTTTGATTGGAATTAAAGTTGTTAAAGAGACTATAGAGAGATCACATGTGTGGTTGCTTCTTATTTTTATAGGTATAAAGTGACATTTTTCTTATGGCTTCATACTTCACATTTCTTAAAGGCTGTAATTCTAGCCAAGTCTAATAAGCCAGCTTGAATAAGTTTGAAAAATTTCAAAGCTGGACTTAGGAGTTTAGAAGAGGAAAGTGGATGACATTGAGATGAAAAACTCTACTTTTTCAATGGGTACGTTTAAAACCCCAGGTCCAGATGGTTTACAAGCACACTAATTTCAATCACAATGAGATCTGGTAGGTGGTTACATCTATTCCTTAGTCAAGGAAGCCTTCCTTAATCTAATAAGTATTAAGGAGTTTAACCAAACTAATATTGTCCTTATCCTAAAAATT